CCTTCAGACCGTCTGACGATGATGTCCTTACCCAGAAGTGGAACTGGTTCTGGGCCGAAATGAAGAAAGTCAATCCCAGACTCCAAGACATTGTAAGTGCATCAAAAACTAGAAAAAGCTTGAGCGTTAATTGTTAACATTGTTGCTTGTGTTTGAGTGTTGAAAACGGAAATAAACTTGTGAAACAGATCAAAGCGGACAGTTTCATCTTCATCTACGGAGGCAATGACAAGAAGTGGATGCAAGAGTTCACACTGGCAGTGGAGAAAATCAAAAGGCACGAGATCATCAAGAGGGCAGACGCAGTGATAGAGCACTACCCATTCGGAAAGGAAGATCCGAGGATCGTTCCTCGGTTCTGGGTTGGCATAGAGAGCTTGTTCGCGAACATGATTCAGAAGACACACAAGGACCCGACAATTGACGAGATAAAGAGCTTGCTGATCCTGAAACAGAAGCAACCAGGGTGGGTTCTGCTGAGCAAAGGGTCGAACGTGAAGCTTCTGGGGAAAGGGGAAGCAATGCTGGCGACTGCAGGAGATTTTGAAATATGGAAAGAGAAGGTGCTTGAGAAAGCAGGATTTGACGTTGCTTTCAAGGAATATTACGAGCACAAGCGGCGCGGTTACCCTCAGGAATGTTCCCACATGCAGTTGGCTAACTACCCTGCTGACATTCTCCACCCTATTAACTGCCCTGATACTGGTTGTGGCAGATCCATGGAGATTGCTTCTGTCAGTTACAAGTGCTGCCATGGTCAAACTCACAACCAGGCTGAAGTTCCTGAGAGTGGCGATGTCATGATTGAGAAGAAGTACGCTTCTTAATCGATTCATCGTCATGAGTTTTGTGGAATTCACTTCTTGCACTGCTGCTTTATTATCATCTTATCATTTTTATACGTGTCAGCTGTTGCCATGAAGCCTCTTCTGTGCCCTTCTGTGGTTGAAAATAATGGCTTCAAACAGCTTCTGTTTGTTTTTCTGAATTGATTTTGATTCAATTTAAGAGATACCTTGGGCTTGCACAAAATCAGACTATTCTTCTTTCTTCTCCTCTGTTCTTTTTTTCTCTTTGTTCCCCATAATTTATTTATATGTTGATATTTTAACAACTTTTCTTATAACAGACGATATATTAAAATAAAAGTAAAATATTAATATTTTACTTATCATAATTTCTTCGAAATACACCAAATTCCATTAGATCTTGGATGACTACGATGAGGCGGGACAAGTTTCATTATCTCATACCTAAGAATTTTATCATCAAACTCATATTCAAATCCAACGGTATCAAAATTTTATCTAATTTTCATACCTATTCGGACAACGGGTATATATACTTGTTTTCTTATTGTTTCAATATAAATTAATTAATTTTTATAAAATGATAAAAAATTATAAACACAATATTATCATATATTTAATATCAAAAGGAAATATTTTTGTTTTTTCAATATCAAATATTTAGAAATAAATTATAATTGTATACATTTCAAATTAAGAGAACTAAATAAAATTTCATGAGAACCAAAACATTTATTAAATTTGTAAACTTTAATGAAAGAAAGTTAATAAAATTTAAAAGTATTTTTTAGAAATTAAGAAAGGAAAACATATATTCAAAATAAAAATATTTTAAGTCTCTTTATTTTCATTATTTAAATTCTAGTTGAACTGTACGACTGGACGGCGTGAACGACAAGAAATAGTGACGCTCGGTAAGGATGGTCAGTCTGTGACAGATAACAAACCAATCCCACGAAGATTAAGGTAAAACATGATTAAGGGTAATGGACCGGGATTGAGCCGATATTAAGATATCGTTAATCTTAGGCTCACGCCAAAAACTATAAATATAGGTTAAAGGGGAAAGGTAGGTGGTCGCATTTATTACTGTTACATTGAATTGCCGAACAAATTTAACAAGTACACCTCTAAATGGTGAAGTGAAAGAAGAGATCAGAGCGTGTGACCGGACGACTTTGAAGCGAAGGAGGTGACTAGAGAGCGTGACCAAACGACATTGAAGCGAAGGAGGTGACTAGAGAGCGTGACCAAACGACTTTCATGAGCAAATTATGAAGGTGTTTAGAGTGACTCGACCCTAGAATCGAACACTAGTGAAATCTCTTTTCTTTTTACATTAATTAATAAAAAAATATAATACACCATTCCAACCAAATTACGCAAATAACAAAGATTAAATTAATAATAATTAAAATTTAACATAAATACTTATCTTTTGAACGTCATTATATATTGGATAATGATGAATAATATTCATAATGTTACTATGGGCTCACAGGTTACCGATCGGTCTCGACCAGCTTCTCATCCGTTCGGTCTCGACAACTATTGAGCAGAGTTAACGCACAATGAATGTGATAACGGCTACCGTAAACAATTAAGGTTTGCATTAATGACGATTAAGAGGTAAATTAATTTGTCAGATTCCTTTAAACTCTATAAATAAGGGTTTAGGTTTGAGGTAAATTAATTTGTCAGATTCCAATACCCCCTGTTTACGTCCTATTAGGACTTCAATATTTAACTGTAACAAACAGTTCATAAAACCGCTCTTAACTTGAGCGTCGAAGTGCCTTTTGCAGGTACCTCTCCTCTTTTACAAAGAGGGTGACTGAGCGGTCAAGACTGAAGTACACCGAGCGGTCAATATTGAAGGTGACCGATTGGTCCAAACTAGAAGCAGACAAGCGGAGCACACCAGTCCAAGGTTAGTGTCTCGATCTCACAATCCCTACCGAAACACATAATAATCACATTAAATTATTATATTATAATAAATAAAATTAAAAAAATATATATTAAATGTGTCTTATGAACTATATAAGATGATTGAATAAAATCGCATAAAAATAAATATATAATTAAAGATAAAAAACTTTTTAAATATCAGATACTTTTTGAGAAATAAATAATGAGAACAAGTTCCAAAAATGCCCTGGGGAACAAATTTATTTCCTATCCCTAATCTCATGTACAGCCTTTCATGTGCCCTTAATCTCATATGTATAGCCTTTCATACTTCCACTGCACTTGGCGATTAGCCATTTTTTTAATTCTTTCTTTCTTTTGAAAAATAAAATAAAATAAGATAATATGATGTTAAATTAAATAAAACAACAAAAGCAAATTTAATATTCTTTTACTATAAAAAGATCATATAAAACCTAGTTAAAATTTGTACCTATACAACATATTAAAAGTAACATTACCATCTCAAATGTCTTTTTGGACAATTGATTTTATACGATATCGATACTTTAAATTTTTTATAAAATAATTATAAAGACATTGTCAAGTTTGTTGCGATAATGTCTGAGCTAAAGTAGTCTCACTGGGATGACCATGCCTACGGTGGACTCCGTGCACGTAAAAGCCTGGAATCATAATGCTACTCACTTAAGGAAAATGTTGTTTTTTACAACTTTTTTACATATAATTGGTCTGTTTTAAACATTTTTAAAAAATAAATATTCAAACTTACTAATAAAATAGTGATATATAACTTATTATTAAAAATTTGTTAAAAAAGTTGTTAATATAATTAGTTAATTTCTTTTTTATCTTGGGATCATATGTTTTGTGGTCATGGTATAACTTATAAATAAAATTATTTTATTTTATTTCTTTTTCTAAAAAATTATAAAAAAGTATAGTCCAATCAAAATCTATTTATAACTTCACACTTTTCAGTTATGGAAACTCACTGTGTTGTTATTATAAAAATAGTAATTTTACTATGCGTATTAGGATCTGGTTCTTTATTTTGTCGGCGTCGATTTGATTTCATGGAATAACTTTGCCCAACATAGTTCTTGCCCTAACCTTTGGTCGGTCTTTCTCAAGGAAAATGTTTCGGTGAAATCTTATCATTCAAATGGAAAAAATGATAAACCTAACAAATTATAAAATGACCAAATTGTAGGGTCCACGAGATTTTAAATGTATTCTTTACGAATGAGCACAAGTTTTAATGATGAAAATTTCACCGCAAAATAAGATCAAGCAATTAAATTGTGAGTGATTGAGCCTTCAATTACTAAATGGAAAATGTTTTTTTAACAACTCATTTTGCCAACTTTTTCACAATGCGTCTCGGATTTGATTGATCCATTTCAAATAATATTTTCATAAATGAAATCTTATACAGAGAGTGTTTTGGGAACGAGAAAAGAGATTCATCTTCTTCCAGCAACTTGAAATATCTCTCTATCTTCCTAAATATAATATTTAGAAAGATCTATCTAGCTTTCAAGTTAATAAAGTATTATATATTTGAAAGGATATATACGGGTAATGAATTCATGTATGTTGCATCTCTTTCAAAGAACATCAAACAAAGTGCTTTCAAGTTACTTATATTTTATTTGCTGATAGCTTTTAATTGACGACATCAAATTTTTTATTATATATTTCGTACACATTTTTATTGAAGTATAAATAAAAATAGCGTAATGATGAAACAAAATTCACCATGAAGACCTACGAAAATGTTCCTGCCTTGTACCTATGGACAAGTGACCTTCAATACATCCTTCTAGAAAAAAAAAAGTTCAAGGAAATTACATTCCAACAAAGGAAACAAATCACTGTCATATAAGGTTTGCATGGTAACATTGTCCACGGTAATCTTCTTGCCTTGAACCTTTAGACAAGTGACCTACCATCTTTTGAGAAAGCTAAAGTTTCATCGAATTCCAACACCAACAAAAACATGGCAATTATATCCTTTATCATATGGCCACTCACCAAAGAATCCATTAGGGCAAACCTGAACTTTGCACAAGAGAGCACATTTCACGTTTTCTATACAGCAAATAAAGAAGCTGTTTGTTTATATGCTTTTTTGATTCTTCTCTAAAATTTGTCTCCTCCAACCTAAAGTTAATAATTATTCCAAATGTAAAGCCTCCAAGAATCTTAACTTATAAATAGGTCGAGCAACTTAATGATAGCACAAGAGACATCATTTCCATCCAAATTAATTAACGTACGAAATAGCAACATGTCGATCTCTAAACCTGAACAAAAGCCTCTTCTGCCAAACCCATTTCAGTTGAGTAACATTGAGCTCATTGAGAAAGTGTACGCATCCCACACTTACGATGACGAAGTGTTTGATAGTGAGCCCCTTTTCAACGTGGTGTCCAGCGTTATCAAGCTATCAAGTAGAGTTGTAGGGGCTATTCTCAAGGTAAATTAACAAAAATCAAATTCATAACTTACAAAATCTCTTTTTTTATGTTTTATAGCTTCCTTTTCTTAAGTCATCAGTAATTATAGCTTCCAGTGTTCAGCTACCTGACTATAATTTTGGTTGTCATGCAGATCGATGAGCAAAATGGTTTTGCAGGAAATGCTATTGCCATAAACATTTCCAAACCAGAATTCTCAAAACTGAAGCTCATTTCCTGTCATGTATTTTGTCGCTCACTCCATTTTATTAGAAATCATATATATCGAGTTTTAATTATGATTTGTTTGCGAAGAAATCACCCCATTTGAATATACTTAGGAACATAGTAGCATATTTTCTGATATACACTTCATGCATACACATGTTCTATTAAAGCAAAACTTAAATGTAGTATTACAAGGGTTGTTAAGACCATTTTCTGTCAGAATTAAAACGTTAGATGGATGATTTGTGTGATAAAAGAATTCACTAATGTTTTTTGTATATTATTTAAAGATAAAACTATATGAATTTTAATTATCTGTTAAAATTATTAAAAAATGTAAATTATAAGATCATTTCTAAGTGAAATATGAAACCTGCATGTTTTTAAATTTTAATAAACTTTAGTTGATACAGCAATGAATTAGAAAATGTTTTTAGCAATTGATTATGGTGACAGATGATAACAACCCCTTGGGGGATGGAGAACGCACACCAAACAACCCTAAGGATTCTTCAACAACTGAGAACCTTCTCGTGGGATGCAAAAGTGTTGGTAGCTCTAGCCGGTTTCGCTTTGGAGTATGGAAACTTCTGGAACCTTTATCAGGCATCAGACCCTCTGGGGAACTCGTTGAAAGTGCTGAATCAGGTTCAGCATAGACAGCTTCCGGTGGTTGATCTNTTTGTTTTTAAACCTAAAAAACAGGTTAGCATCGAAGTGTTTAGGAAGAAACACGTGTTGCTGTTCATTTCTGGCTTGGACAGCATCAGAGATGAGATTCGGCTGCTGCAATCAATCTACGAGGGATTGCAAGAAGATCCTAAGGAAGTGAAAGGATACAGGAAAGAGGACTTCAGGATCTTGTGGCTGCCCGTGGTGGAAGACTGGAATCTTCTGCACAGGGCAGAGTACGATAGTCTGAAGCTAGAAATGCCATGGTACGTGGTGGAATACTTCTTTCCCTTAGCAGGAATCAGACTCATAAGAGAGGACTTGAACTACAAGAACAAGCCCATCATCCCTGTGCTGAACCCTCAGGGAAGGGTTGTGAACTACAATGCCATGCACATGATTTTCGTGTGGGGCATCGATGCCTTCCCCTTCAGACCGTCTGACGATGATGTCCTTACCCAGAAGTGGAACTGGTTCTGGGCCGAAATGAAGAAAGTCAATCCCAGACTCCAAGACATTGTAAGTGCATCAAAAACTAGAAAAAGCTTGAGCGTTAATTGTTAACATTGTTGCTTGTGTTTGAGTGTTGAAAACGGAAATAAACTTGTGAAACAGATCAAAGCGGACAGTTTCATCTTCATCTACGGAGGCAATGACAAGAAGTGGATGCAAGAGTTCACACTGGCAGTGGAGAAAATCAAAAGGCACGAGATCATCAAGAGGGCAGACGCAGTGATAGAGCACTACCCATTCGGAAAGGAAGATCCGAGGATCGTTCCTCGGTTCTGGGTTGGCATAGAGAGCTTGTTCGCGAACATGATTCAGAAGACACACAAGGACCCGACAATTGACGAGATAAAGAGCTTGCTGATCCTGAAACAGAAGCAACCAGGGTGGGTTCTGCTGAGCAAAGGGTCGAACGTGAAGCTTCTGGGGAAAGGGGAAGCAATGCTGGCGACTGCAGGAGATTTTGAAATATGGAAAGAGAAGGTGCTTGAGAAAGCAGGATTTGACGTTGCTTTCAAGGAATATTACGAGCACAAGCGGCGCGGTTACCCTCAGGAATGTTCCCACATGCAGTTGGCTAACTACCCTGCTGACATTCTCCACCCTATTAACTGCCCTGATACTGGTTGTGGCAGATCCATGGAGATTGCTTCTGTCAGTTACAAGTGCTGCCATGGTCAAACTCACAACCAGGCTGAAGTTCCTGAGAGTGGCGATGTCATGATTGAGAAGAAGTACGCTTCTTAATCGATTCATCGTCATGAGTTTTGTGGAATTCACTTCTTGCACTGCTGCTTTATTATCATCTTATCATTTTTATACGTGTCAGCTGTTGCCATGAAGCCTCTTCTGTGCCCTTCTGTGGTTGAAAATAATGGCTTCAAACAGCTTCTGTTTGTTTTTCTGAATTGATTTTGATTCAATTTAAGAGATACCTTGGGCTTGCACAAAATCAGACTATTCTTCTTTCTTCTCCTCTGTTCTTTTTTTCTCTTTGTTCCCCATAATTTATTTATATGTTGATATTTTAACAACTTTTCTTATAACAGACGATATATTAAAATAAAAGTAAAATATTAATATTTTACTTATCATAATTTCTTCGAAATACACCAAATTCCATTAGATCTTGGATGACTACGATGAGGCGGGACAAGTTTCATTATCTCATACCTAAGAATTTTATCATCAAACTCATATTCAAATCCAACGGTATCAAAATTTTATCTAATTTTCATACCTATTCGGACAACGGGTATATATACTTGTTTTCTTATTGTTTCAATATAAATTAATTAATTTTTATAAAATGATAAAAAATTATAAACACAATATTATCATATATTTAATATCAAAAGGAAATATTTTTGTTTTTTCAATATCAAATATTTAGAAATAAATTATAATTGTATACATTTCAAATTAAGAGTACTAAATAAAATTTCATGAGAACCAAAACATTTATTAAATTTGTAAACTTTAATGAAAGAAAGTTAATAAAATTTAAAAGTATTTTTTAGAAATTAAGAAAGGAAAACATATATTCAAAATAAAAATATTTTAAGTCTCTTTATTTTCATTATTTAAATTCTAGTTGAACTGTACGACTGGACGGCGTGAACGACAAGAAATAGTGACGCTCGGTAAGGATGGTCAGTCTGTGACAGATAACAAACCAATCCCACGAAGATTAAGGTAAAACATGATTAAGGGTAATGGACCGGGATTGAGCCGATATTAAGATATCGTTAATCTTAGGCTCACGCCAAAAACTATAAATATAGGTTAAAGGGGAAAGGTAGGTGGTCGCATTTATTACTGTTACATTGAATTGCCGAACAAATTTAACAAGTACACCTCTAAATGGTGAAGTGAAAGAAGAGATCAGAGCGTGTGACCGGACGACTTTGAAGCGAAGGAGGTGACTAGAGAGCGTGACCAAACGACATTGAAGCGAAGGAGGTGACTAGAGAGCGTGACCAAACGACTTTCATGAGCAAATTATGAAGGTGTTTAGAGTGACTCGACCCTAGAATCGAACACTAGTGAAATCTCTTTTCTTTTTACATTAATTAATAAAAAAATATAATACACCATTCCAACCAAATTACGCAAATAACAAAGATTAAATTAATAATAATTAAAATTTAACATAAATACTTATCTTTTGAACGTCATTATATATTGGATAATGATGAATAATATTCATAATGTTACTATGGGCTCACAGGTTACCGATCGGTCTCGACCAGCTTCTCATCCGTTCGGTCTCGACAACTATTGAGCAGAGTTAACGCACAATGAATGTGATAACGGCTACCGTAAACAATTAAGGTTTGCATTAATGACGATTAAGAGGTAAATTAATTTGTCAGATTCCTTTAAACTCTATAAATAAGGGTTTAGGTTTGAGGTAAATTAATTTGTCAGATTCCAATACCCCCTGTTTACGTCCTATTAGGACTTCAATATTTAACTGTAACAAACAGTTCATAAAACCGCTCTTAACTTGAGCGTCGAAGTGCCTTTTGCAGGTACCTCTCCTCTTTTACAAAGAGGGTGACTGAGCGGTCAAGACTGAAGTACACCGAGCGGTCAATATTGAAGGTGACCGATTGGTCCAAACTAGAAGCAGACAAGCGAAGCGCACCAGTCGAAGGTTAGTGTCTCGATCTCACAATCCCTACCGAAACACATAATAATCACATTAAATTATTATATTATAATAAATAAAATTAAAAAAATATATATTAAATGTGTCTTATGAACTATATAAGATGATTGAATAAAATCGCATAAAAATAAATATATAATTAAAGATAAAAAACTTTTTAAATATCAGATACTTTTTGAGAAATAAATAATGAGAACAAGTTCCAAAAATGCCCTGGGGAACAAATTTATTTCCTATCCCTAATCTCATGTACAGCCTTTCATGTGCCCTTAATCTCATATGTATAGCCTTTCATACTTCCACTGCACTTGGCGATTAGCCATTTTTTTAATTCTTTCTTTCTTTTGAAAAATAAAATAAAATAAGATAATANAATAAATTATAATTGTATACATTTTAAATTAGAGTGCAAAATAAAATTTTATGAGAACCAAAATATTTATTAAATTTGTAAACTTCAATGAAAGAAAGTTAATAAAATTTAAAAGTATTTTTTAGAAATTAAGAAAGGAAAACATATATTCAAATTAAAAATATTTTAAGTCTCTTTATTTTCATTATTTAAATTCTGGTTGTACTGTACGATTCGACGTGAACAACAAGAAATAGTGACGCTTGATAAGGATGGTCGGTTGCGATAGATGATAACAAACCAATCCCACGAAGATTAAGGTAAATCATGATTAAGGATAATGGACCGGAATTGAGCCGATATTAAGATATCGTTAATCTTAGGCTCACGCCAAAAACTATAAATATAGGTCAAAGGGGAGAGGTAGGTGGTTGCATTTATTACTGTTACATTGAATTGCTGAACAAATTTAACAAGTACACCTCTAGATGGTGAAGCGAAAGAAGAGATCAGAGCGTGTGACCGGACAACTTTGAAGCGAAGGAGGTGACTAGAGAACGTGACCAGACAACTTTCACGAGCAAATTATGAAGGTGTTTAGAGTGACTCGACCCCAAAATGGAACACTAGTGAAATCTCTTTTCTTTTTACATTAATTAATAAAAAATATAATACACCATTCCAACCAAATTACATAAATAACAAAGATTAGACTAATAATAATTAAAATTTAACATAAATACTTATCTTTTGAACGTCATTATATATTGGATAATGATGAATAATATTCGTAATAATCACATTAAATTATTATATTATAATAAATAAAATTAAAAAAAATATATCAAAGGTGTCTTATGAACTATATGATAGACGATTGAATAAAATCGCATAAAAATAAATATATAATGAAAGATAAAAAACTTTTTAAATATCAAATACTTTTTGAGAAATAAATAATGAGGGCAAGTTCCAAAAATGTCCTGAGGAACAAATTTATTTCCTATCCCTAATCTCATGTACAGCCTTTCATGTGCCCTTAATATCATATGTATAGCCTTTCATACTTCCACTGCACTTGGCGATTAGCCATTTTTTTAATTCTTTCTTTCTTTTGAAAAATAAAATAAAATAAGATAATATGATGTTAAATTAAATAAAACAACAAAAGCAAATTTAATATTCTTTTACTATAAAAAGATCATATAAAACCTAGTTAAAATTTGTACCTATACAACATATATAAAAGTAACATTACCATCTCAAATGTCTTTTGGACCATTGATTTTATACAACCTAGTTGATTCTTTTTTATCTTGGGATCATATATTTTGTGGTCATGGTATAACTTATAAATAAAATTATTTTATTTTTATTTCTTTTTCTAAAAAATTATAAAAAAGTATAGTCCAATCAAAATCTATTTATAACTTCACACTTTTCAGTTATGGAAACTCACTGTGTTGTTATTATAAAAATAGTAATTTTACTATGCGTATTAGGATCTGGTTCTTTATTTTGTCGGCTCGATTTGATTTCATGGAATAACTTTGCCCAACATAGTTCTTGCCCTAACCTTTGGTCGGTCTTTCTCAAGGAAAATGTTTCGGTGAAATCTTATCATTCAAATGGAAAAAATGATAAACCTAACAAATTATAAAATGACCAAATTGTAGGGTCCACGAGATTTTAAATGTATTCTTTACGAATGAGCACAAGTTTTAATGATGAAAATTTCACCGCAAAATAAGATCAAGCAATTAAATTGTGAGTGATTGAGCCTTCAATTACTAAATGGAAAATGTTTTTTTAACAACTCATTTTGCCAACTTTTTCACAATGCGTCTCGGATTTGATTGATCCATTTCAAATAATATTTTCATAAATGAAATCTTATACAGAGGGTGTTTTGGGAACGAGAAAAGAGATTCATCTTCTTCCAGCAACTTGAAATATCTCTCTATCTTCCTAAATATAATATTTAGAAAGATCTATCTAGCTTTCAAGTTAATAAAGTATTATATATTTGAAAGGATATATACGGGTAATGAATTCATGTATGTTGCATCTCTTTCAAAGAACATCAAACAAAGTGCTTTCAAGTTACTTATATTTTATTTGCTGATAGCTTTTAATTGACGACATCAAATTTTTTATTATATATTTCGTACACATTTTTATTGAAGTATAAATAAAAATAGCGTAATGATGAAACAAAATTCACCATGAAGACCTACGAAAATGTTCCTGCCTTGTACCTATGGACAAGTGACCTTCAATACATCCTTCTAGAAAAAAAAAAGTTCAAGGAAATTCCATTCCAACAAAGGAAACAAATCACTGTCATATAAGGTTTGCATGGTAACATTGTCCACGGTAATCTTCTTGCCTTGAACCTTTAGACAAGTGACCTACCATCTTTTGAGAAAGCTAAAGTTTCATCGAATTCCAACACCAACAAAAACATGGCAATTATATCCTTTATCATATGGCCACTCACCAAAGAATCCATTAGGGCAAACCTGAACTTTGCACAAGAGAGCACATTTCACGTTTTCTATACAGCAAATAAAGAAGCTGTTTGTTTATATGCTTTTTTGATTCTTCTCTAAAATTTGTCTCCTCCAACCTAAAGTTAATAATTATTCCAAATGTAAAGCCTCCAAGAATCTTAACTTATAAATAGGTCGAGCAACTTAATGATAGCACAAGAGACATCATTTCCATCCAAATTAATTAACGTACGAAATAGCAACATGTCGATCTCTAAACCTGAACAAAAGCCTCTTCTGCCAAACCCATTTCAGTTGAGTGACATTGAGCTCATTGAGAAAGTGTACGCATCCCACACTTACGATGACGAAGTGTTTGATAGTGAGCCCCTTTTCAACGTGGTGTCCAGCGTTATCAAGCTATCAAGTAGAGT